TGTTAAAAAGTCTAGTCTATTTGGTGCATTGTTTTTACGTTTGCTCGTTTGCTCGTTTGCTCGTTTGCTCGTTTGCTCGTTTGTTCGTTTGTTCGTTTCAGCTTGTTTACTCGTTTTACTACGTATACATTGACATACCTTGCTCAAATAATTCCCAATCGTCGTTCAGCTTTCCTGTTCGTTTCCGCATTCCTTCTTTCAAATCCAACACTTGATTCGCAAAGACAAAATTGAACTGTTGTCCCATGACCAAGATAGCAAGCAAAACGCAACGCCTCTGAATACATCTCCCTTTGATATGCATCTTTAAACAATAACATTCACTTAGGTTAGTTTAAGGTTATAATTGAAGTAATGGAAAAATAAGGCATGAGAAATGAAGTTGTATCGATACGAGTGAAGAACGTCTGCGCATTCTCTATGTCTAAGTCCGTATGCAAATTTAATAGTTCAAAAAATCTTCATAGCAAGCGGTTGTAAAATATATGCTAATTTGACTTTCAAACATGCCTGACGAATGGACTTCACAAAATGCCAAAAATTGATAGTATTTTCTTGAAACCTAAGGCTAATTCTTTCACCTTGTCTTTGTTAAAATATTATCTTGGTCTCACAAAAGTATACTCACGAATGGTTTTGTATATTTGGAGGAAACGAATATTTCTTTTCGTGCTCAAATGCCCTTGAATTCTTTGGATAATGTGTGGAAATGAACAAAACGAAACATTAACGGCTTCCCATTTGGCGGCGGAGCTTCAACATTAGTGGATAAAAGTGTTTCAACCTCATTATGTTCTCCAAGTGGTGTTCAAATCCTGACCACCATGTGCTCTACGCCAGAGAAAGAATTCTACTGAAAATTTGTGATTCAGCTGATGAACATTCCGCACGAGACAGGAAATGACGTCAAGTGCAACCCAGCAATACAACTCCGTGAAAATCCGGATGCGACGTTAAAGGAGTGATTCGTAGGTCACGTGGGACACGTCATACTTACTGATGTAACTTATTTGAAAAATTCATAATAGTTAAAAATATATATAAAGTATTATAAAACCTAGCTGGTTTGTAAGACTCCAAAAACGTCTATATATAACACTGGTTAACTATGCAAGATGTTAAAAAAAATTTAAAAATACGAAAAAGAGCATTTAATTAATCCATGAACAATTTGCACCTATATTGGTAATCTTGGTATAGCGTGCAAACAATATAACCGTGAAACTTTAGTAATACTAAATAGCACAATTTCATGCAGATTCCATTGTTTTCTATTGTTTAATTAGCACTATTTTGTACTATTTAGTAATTAGTGTTTCAGGGATTAATTGTTTGCACCCTACCTTGATTCGTATTATATGATTAAATATTTCTTGATTCGTATTTTAGTATTTGGTACTATACTAGACGAAGAGGTCGTATTTTCGTTTTGTGCTTAATGAATTTAAAGATGCAGAGTATTGATGCGTTGAAGAAGGTATTTAAATCTACGAAACCAAACCGAGTACTCTTGTTGTCACATTTCAATGATTTTTGCACTAAATTTGATTTCAAACTGATAAAAACGATATCTCTATAACAAGCATTTCCACATTCAGAAAGTAACGCATTATATTCATTATTATAAACATCTTCATAAATTTAAAATAACGAATTCTTAACTATGTTTTGATATGAGCTTGCGCTATTTGCAGGATACACCCGAATTAATCAATGTAAAACTCATTTTGCTTTAAAAAAAGAAATCATTTTTGAAAAAAATAAAGCTTTTAAAAGATTTTTTGTAAAGAAATTTAAATAAACTACATTTATAATATAAACCTCATACCTCGATATCTCTTGATTATTCGACTCGATTCAAACTACTAACGGCTGCAGTACAGAACAGTTAACTCCCAACTATAAAATGAATCAAAACAAAGCCTGATTTGATTTTAAATGGCTATGAATTATTGATAAATCCTTCATCAAAATGACAAATAAGATTTTTGCGCTTCGTTGAACCGAATGAATAACACTCTTTCTATTCTACGACACAAAAAAGTACTTTTAATGAATAATTCTTACTCTATTTACTTATTCCAAAGAACGTTTTGTCACAATACTGAATACCTGTAGTGAATGGCGGGTTAACTCGCAGAATTCAAGACAAAAGAAACGAAAATAATTTTAAATTCATACACAAGCAATATTGGCTACAATAGGCATTGCTTTTAAAACCTAATTTTACTGAACTCCTATACTAAAATAAATGTCGTTATGATTTCAAACAAAAACTTAGATTTTAAAATTAAAATAGCTAAAAACTCCAATTCAAAATAAAGTGTAATTCTAATCTACAGTTTGTGGACAGCTTTTGATTAGAATATTATTGTAAAGAAGCTAAGCTGGCAAATTCAAATGTTCAATAATACCATGCGGTTTTTAAAACGGTTTTACTCCAGTGATAAACAAACAATGGTTTGCTCTTTTAATACTTTCTAAGTTAAGAAAAAAGTGCTCGATAGAGCATAGTTTACATAAATTTTTTGCACGATCACTTTTTGATTGAATTTTTAAATTAAAAAACTTAAAAACCTTTTTTTTAAAAACTAATTTCCTCAGGGTTAGCCTCGATTTTGTCCAGAACATTCATGTGTTCCAGTGAAGATCCGTGGAATTTCAAAGTGTCTGTATTGTTGAAGTTGTGTAATCTTCACTTTACTGTTGGTATTAGTGAATATTTTGACACTGAAATGACCAGGGTAATCTTAAAAACTAAATGAGTCTGTAAAGGCGCGATTACACGGAGCAATTACTCTGCAACATATCTAGCAACATGTCTAGCAACGACACAAGTTCGGCACGGAACATTACGTGTACCTACAGCACAATTTGAAAAATGTTGCTAGACAAGCTGCTGCAATCGTTGCCAAAATTCTACTAGTGGCAACGATTGCGTCTCCGTTGCACCGTGTAGACACGCTGTTGCGCGACAAGTTGCAGAGAAAATTGCTCCGTGTAATCTCACCTTAAACAAGGAGTAGAGCGGTATTTTAAATTAAAGACTTTGCATAATAGATAGTGGTGAGAAGTATTGACCACATCTATCGTTAGCATTGACCAATCAAAGTCCACTTAATTCTCTTGGGAGCTTTGCTGGATCTCCTTGGATCATTAATGCTTATAAAAAAATCTCTGCTAGACTTTATATAGCATTGCTAACCTTAACAAATATTTGGTTAAACTGTGTACGGTTTTTTATACTACCCAAAATATTCATGAATTTCATATACATATTATCTTTGTAAAGTTTAATCTTAAAAAGTAAATATAAAAAATGACTTAATATGTGAAATATCAAATTTTGGTTTGCTTTGATTAAGGTCAGTTATTTTATATTAGAGTGAAGTCATTAAACCCGTGAAATAGATATTGGACTAACACAAATAGTAGACCCTTTGTATCTATTTGACTATTACACTTTTAATAATTTTTATTTCGCGGATTAAATGCCTTCAATCTACTAACAGATGAATGTCACATCAATGTTTCTCTGCAACATTAATATAAGTCAATTTTGTGATTTTGCTGAAAAAAATTTTAATTAGTTTTTATTTTGTTTTTGTTCTTTAAAGTGCTACTACGACGAAAATCGCTCAAACTTGGATTCAGCTGAAACTTCCTAAAAATACTCTTTAAAGGTCCAATAATCACTGTATGAAGTGTTTTCTCGATATTCAGGACGAAAGTATGATATTTTTAGGATTATTTTTTGGAGTCTGTGACGTCATACACTCAACATCGAACATCGCTCCATACATTTCTTTGTATATAAATCCTTAATTTATTTTATTCCTATGAAGCCCAAAGGGTGGCTAATGTGCTTCTTTCACATTACTTGTGACTATGATTTATATTTTGGGGTGTTTGGGTATTTCTTTCTCCCTTTACTACTGATATTTTGATCATAAACTACAAAGAAATGTATGGAACGATGTTCGATGTTGTGTATGACGTCACAGACTCCAAAAAATAATCGTAAAAATATCATACTTTCGTCCTGAATATAGAGAAAACACTTCACACAGTGATTATTGGACCTTTAAAGAGTATTCTTAGGAAGTTTCAGCTGAATCCAAGTTTGAGCGATTTTCGTCGTAGTTTCGTCATTTAAATTACAAAATGAAGGCGACTTCAGGTTGATAAGATCCCCAAAACAAGGGTGCTAACTAACCATAGGAAATTCATTCGCGAATGGAAAGAAAAGAGCGGGAAACTTTGACTTTCGAAAATTGGTACACGCGTCTACCCGAAGAACCGAAAAGAGCGGGAAAATAGATTGCCTCTCCATCAAAATACAGAGTTTTCCGGAACATTTCGATCAGAATGACACATACCATTTGTTTTCCAACCGGAATTTCCTGTTTTCCTGTTAAAGGGAAAGCACCACAGACTTACACGCCAAGGCAAAATTACCGACTGGCAAGTCAAACATTGTTATAATTGATTCAAGTTATGGTTTGTTTTAAAAACTGGTTGATTTATCTTGTGCAAGAGCGGCTCCTCACGCACATGCAAGTTCATTGAAAAAATTAAAGGAAAAGTAAATATAACTATAAGGTTTCGCTTTTGAAGAAAAAAATTAGAAAAAGAATGTAAAGAGACGTGTCAAACCAATGGAGCATATGCATGTTACGTTATAACCACCATCTTGGTTGACGATAACAAAGCATTCAGCCATTAACATATCTCAAGGGATTTTTCGTCATTTTTTTTTTATGTATAAGGATAATATTTGATGTGACCAAGAAAGGGTAGGAAAGGAAGGAAAGTAGGGTAGGAAAGAAAGAGAACGACTGAAGGAAAGAAGAAGCTTAGCCTAATAAAAACCAATATATGAAGTATGACACTTTCACAATACATCCTCTTCTCTTATTGATTCAGTACTTTGTCTTTGTTTGTTTGTCGTCGTTTTTTTTCTATTCCATCTGCTAGCTACAACTGTACTCTTGTTTAGTTTATTCAGTACCGTATTTACTCGTTTAAGCGCCTAGTCTCCTTTGCAGCCGTTCTTATTGTCGGGAAGGGATGCGTTCAGAGCGAACGTCTGCAAAGGAGACTAAAGAGCGCCGCACCGGCAACCGGTCATTTAGCCATTCCTATATGAAAACACACGGCTGCAACTATATGGTAAATACATTTTTTAAACAAGCGCCAACCTTGAATAAACGGTATAAACGCCGAAATATACGCTGCCCCCGAATCAACGCCGCATATGAAACCCAAAAAATTTAATAAGCGCTTAAACGAGTTAATACGGCATTTCACCAGAACACGAGGGGATGAGATTAAGATTTATTTCGAATGCGAATGCATATTGATGAATGTCACGTAAGATGAGGCCGGAACGAACGGTGGTATTCGGGGAATGAAGAAAAGTGAGCTACTGCAAGAAAATAGCAGTTCTTATTAATCTTCCTATCTAGTGAACGTTAGGGAAGGAGTTTCTTTCGTTGTTGTTGCAGCAGCAATTCCAGGTGGTCAGCTCGCTTCATTGCAGCCTGGGAACAAAAATGACAAAGATTGGTTAATGGGCAAGTGGCACTTAAACACAGGCTTCGATGAGGATGAACTATGGCTACTTTTGGTCGAGAGATAATAAGGTAACTACGACGTTTTCTCCGCCAAACAAATTGGGATAGTCGCTCCGAGGGTGATGAAAAGACTGGGCCAACTTGACATTGCAATGCATTGTAGGACTATTTATTCTTTTATTGTTTCATATTTCCAAGACGGCGTCTATTTCGTTCCCTAAGAACAGTTCCAAAATACATTGCAATGCCAACTGTATCCAGTCTTTTATTCAACCTAGGAATCAATAATAGTCCCCTTCACAGTTCCCAGCGCCATCTTGAAAGGTAACCGTACTTGTGCATCGAAAAACCAAAAAAAAAAAAAAAAAAATCGAGCACATCTTTAAAGATTGAAAAAAAAATCCTGCACAAAATAAATTGCCCGACCCTCCCCCCCTCAAAAATCTAATGGTCCGTCCCTTAGACAAGAAAATTCTAGAATAAGATGGCAAAAGAAACCTGCTGCTGTTCCTGTAAAGCCTTGACTGTTTCATCCTTTCGAGAGATAGCTTGTTTTACTCTGAAATCAAGACAACGAGATATCAAGGTATTAGCCAAAACCAAAGCATTATGGTGGTCGGTGTATCAGTTTCAACCTTCCATCGTGTATTATGACCCCTTTAATGCATAGTGCTGCATAGCCAGTTGACCTGAGATAAAAATTTTAGCCAATCAAAATCGAGAAATTTTGTAAAACTGAGGTGTCACTTTTCCTCTTGAATTTTTGGAATAGTCTCCTTCACAGTTCCCTGCGCCATCTTGAAAGGTAGCCGTGCCTTTGCATGATAGCGAGACGAACGGTGAGCTTGCAATGATAGAGACCTGTGAATAATTGTCTAAAGTGTTAAAAAAGGTCTCTATCAATGCAAGCTCACCGTTTGGTCTCGCTTCGATGCAAAGGCACGGCTACCTTTCAAGATGGCGCAGGGAACCGTGAAGGGGACTATTCCAGGCCACCAAATATGTGTTTTTATTTTTCGCTGGTCAATTTTGGCAGTGTGCATACCAGTTAAATTGACTGCATTCCCCAAAAGGTATTCTGGGTGTTCTGAAGGTCAACTGAGCTGGTAGTGAAGCCAGTTAGTAAAACCGGTACTCGTATGGTAATGAATATAAAAGATGGTGGAGAACCGGGGAATTCAGGTGCAGCAATAAATACATTGTCTACTCCAATCTCATTTCAGGGACTTTAAGATTTCCGGCGACGTGAACCGGAAGTGTAAATTACTGCACTTTGGGGTTTGATCGAGTCTTCAAAATCTGTCTTCCCTGTGGATGGGTTGACTTTACTAACAGTGTTTTGAATGAAATCTTCAATGAACAGAACCCCAAAAAGAAAATATTTGCATTTCCGGTTGACTTCGCCGTCGTAAATTTTAAAAATCTTAAAGTGCCTATCAACCGTACGAGGATGGGTAAGAATGGTATGACGTGATTTGGTTGATACATATCACTTTAGAAGGGACGAGGTGTCGAGTGATTTTGTATACCTTTGATGTAACTGCTCCATCTCCTGTTCTTTTTCTCTTGTGATGCGATCAGTATCCAGTCGATGCCTGGCTCGCATCTCACTGACCTCGGTTTTCAATCTCTTGTTATCTTCTTCTGTCGTGATTAGTCTAATAATATCAAAAGTATTAATGCACAGTCAATAGACATAAGTATTCGTTACTTTTGCAAAATGTGCGCGAAATTTGAAGACGCGTCTGCCCATTCAGCGCGGGAAAACTTGCAAATACAAAGCACAATATTAGTACCAATTTATTTGAATTGTAAAAGCAAAGAGTGGTATCACATGGTCTGAGATGCGCAGGTCTGAAAGCTGAACAGATCTATTGGTCTAAGACTGATCAATTCCAATCTTCTGCGCGTGGTCTGGTTCAAACATCTTTTGTCGGTTACAGATAAAAACATAAAATAAAAATAAAAAAATCTTTCATTTAAGTGTCTAGTTGTTCTAGCGCTTTCGCACTAATTGGGGACACTTTTCGCTCACACGCACTACCACTACATTCAATATTCTATGCACACAACGCTCAGCTCACATGTTGATTTTTACGGAGGGAGGAAACCGGTGAACCCGGAGAAAACCCTCGTAGCATAGGAGAGAACAGCACATAAAACAAACTCAATTCACACGTGACGTTAACTGAAAAATTGTATGGTATAATGACTGGTACCTGTCTGCGAACTCCTGCCGGATGATGTCGGCTACTTTTCCTCGCTCTTCTTGTAGTTTAGACAGCACTTTTTCCACGTCTTCTTTTTGATGAGTTATTTGTTTATGCTGACTTCGAAGCCTTGTAACTTCGCCTTCAGCTTCAAGTAGTTGTTCCTTGGAAGTAGATATATGGGACAAGGTCAAAATATTGGTCCAAAAAGGGAACCTATTTTATTGATTTATGTGGTGGGTACTACTACTAGCCTATACAAACATAATAAATAGTGGACCTACCTTGAGGGAATTACATTTCTGCTGCATGTTTGATTCTGATCTCTCGAGCTCTTTCATTTCGGATTCGTATTTATTTCTTATCCGCCTGATAAAGAACAGTTAAGATCATCATTATAATGTGCAGTGTGGACGAGAAGAAAATGACGAATAACAAACGAATGTTAAAGAGAGAGGTGGGATGGATGAAATATGAAATAAAAAGAGAATAAAACACTAACTTGATTCTATTTTCAGCAGCTCTCTCACATTCTTCCCTCGATGCAGCAGTCTCTTCCTCCAGTCGGGTAATCACCATCTCAATCTCCTGCAAAACAAAAAAAGTGAACGTTAAGCATGAAGCCCTGTGAAACGAATGGCCATACTTTAGTCTCCTTACCCTATCTCTTGCTTCTCTCACGCCTTCTTTCAGTTCTCTTTCTTTAGTCAGAAGAACCGCATCCTGAAACATCAAAGAAGAATCACGTGATATTGTCTTCCGCATGTCCTTGCAGCACACTTACGCATGAGAAACGGTACATCGGTTGTCTCGTTTCTACGGCCCATAACTTTTAGGAATGAGGAAGGAAGTAAAAAACTTACGAGAGAGGCAGGAAGACTCGAAGGAAGGAAGGAAGAAAGGGAGGAAGGAAGGAAGGAAGGAAGGAAG